TGGCGGCAGTTGTGCAGCAGGCTTCTTCTAATAATTTTGTTGGTTCTTCTGTTCTTAACCTCTTGCAGAGCCAGGTAAAACTTAGCTTTAGTCGCAGACATGCTTATTCTCAAATCTCCCTTTTATATTTGGAACATGGCTTTCTTATTATCTTTCCTAAGTTGGACATATTTCATGCCTAGGCCAAAGCGATGGCTGGTGATAATTCAGTGAGGTCATTGCTGGAGAAAATGACTGAGTGTGCAAGCAATGCGTACCTGAGCATATTGGAAAGGTTTGTTTCCAAGTCTCAGCATGTGTCTTGCTTGCAAATTCTCCAATTTCTTCTCTATTCTTTTCCCCTTTTAATTATATCTGAGCTGCATGCAAAAAGGAAAAAAACTCAGTTCTTCATCATAGCTTTCTTTTTCTTGGAAGGATTCATCACATTTTAAGGCATTTTCTGAATTTATCTGTGTATATAGGTTAGCCTTTTCTGTCAGATGCTTCACGCTTTGCTCGAGGGCATCAACTCACTTGAATTTCATTTTTAAATTAGGTGGGTGTATGAAGGGGTCATTGATGATCCTTATGGGGAATTTTTCATTGCTGAGAACAAGTCTCTTAAAAAGGTACTTTGGTTTTTCCCAGAAGTATGTGCATAGCTGTTGATTTTTTTTTTATATTACAATTTCAATTTTTTTTCTGCAGGAGAGCCTGAGTCTGGACTCAACAGCTAAATATTGGAGCCACCGATACAGCCTCAAGGATGGCATTCCTAGCTTTCTTGCGAACATTGCAGCAACAATATTGACCACAGGGAAATATCTAAATGTGATGAGAGAATGTGGACACCATGTTCAGGTTAATGAGTCGTGGATGGCTTTGTCTTGTAATTAATTCCTATTGTTCAAGCAGTAAAGTTTCTTTATTCATGAAATCATATGTGACATTGGTTCTGATCGACAGGTTCCCATCTCAGAGAGATCTAAGTTAGCAATATTTGGTTCGAATCATCATTATCTTGGTTGCGTAAAGGCTGCTCACGAATTTGCAAGTGTTGAGCTCTTAAATCTCATAAAGGAAAAGGTGAGATTTTTTTTTAGTGCTTTAGCTTTTTAAATTATCTTCTATTGCTTCCCCTCTTCATTGCACCACTCACCGACCATGAATATATAAACAGTATGACCTCATTGGAAGACTCCGATCCATAAAGCACTATCTTCTTCTTGACCAGGTATACCTATTCTGTACTTCTCAATAAACGATTAGCTAATTTCATCAAGTATTTTCCAGGGACAAATTGCCAGTGTGAACGTGTTACTTATGGAATATGTAACCCTGTTGTTGATCTTCATTCAGCTAACTTCTAAATTATCAATCTAACAATTTTACAGGGTGATTTCTTGGTTCATTTTATGGACATCGCCCGAGAGGAGCTCAACAAAAAATCTAGTGAGATATCTGTTGAAAAGTTGCAGGTTTATCTCGGCTCTCTAGAGCACATCAACATAGAAAGCTAGCACTATTTTCAAAAAGTTAGAATTCTCTGCTTGTTGGCTGATATCTGAATGTATGCACTCTTGTAGTCTTTGTTAGATCTTGCTCTACGGACCACTGCAGCTGCCGCAGATCCTTGCCATGAGGACTTAACTTGTTGTGTGGTAAGCAGCAAATATTTTTTTTCTTGGACGAGATAACTTTGTGAACTAATATGCTTTGCTCTCATTTTGCGTGCTTATATCAGGATCGAGTTTCTTTGCTTAAGGCTTTGGGAACGCACAAGGAATCTGAACTTCAAGCAGTTTGTGATAGCAATGGTCTAGAGGACCCAGTGAGCATCACTGGTCTGGAGACATTTTCCTTGAGCTACAAGGTATGTTCTTATACTCTATTATTATTATTATTATTATTATTATTTTGTTTATAACCATCTCTCTGCATCTATATTTTAATTAAAATGCCTGCTAGTATATGTACTAGCCATTCAACAGTTGATATTTTTCTTGTTATTGTTTTGGAATATACAAAAAACTGTTTGTCAGACGTCAGAATGCATTTTCTACTCTCCCGATTGAGAATGTTGACTTTGTCATACTAAAAATGCTTCCTACTTAATATGATTGAAAGAAATCTACCCCATCACATATTATAGATTCCCTCTCTTGTGAATGTTGATTCTCTAGTTTAGCTATTTTTGGTTGTTGCTTTCTGTTTTCAGGTTCAGTGGCCATTGTCTATTGTCATATCAAACAAAGCCCTATCAAAGTACCAGTTGATTTTTAGCTTTCTCTTTCATTGCAAACATGTGGAACGCCAGCTTTGTGGAGCTTGGCAGACACATCAAGTATGGTTAATATTCTATGGGAGGCTTGCCAACTTTGTTTCTTAAGAAACACTGTATTCTCTTTTCCTCTCTTAACAAAATGATGTCTAATTGCGCAGGGTATTCGGTCTCTGAACTCCAAAGGGACGGCAATACCTAGATCATCCCTTCTCTGCCGTAGCATGCTTAAATTCATTAGTAGCCTTCTGCACTATCTCACTTTTGAGGTAAGTCTTACTTTTCTGCTTTTCTTTTTGTGTCTGCTTTGAGCATTTCTTTGCCCTGGGATTTGAAATTTCTTGGTTTCCCAATCTGTAAGGATTTTGCTTACAAATTTAGACCCTGGTTACCGTTGTGATTTTGGGTTGTAAGTTCTGGAAAGAGGTCGTCCTAGAATGTTTTATATGAGTGCTAAATCTTAAATAATGTGCTTCTATATAAAGATTTTGCTTAAATTTGTGGATGCTGCTCGCCTGTCATGATTTTGGACATAGTAAGCAATAAGATTATGCTAGACTAAACAATGCAATCAACATTTAGGGTTACGAGAAATAGCGATAGCTTATGCGGTGGTCATGCTAGCCTGAATCAGAGATTTAAAAACAAATTGGGTAGGAGTATCCTTATAAAGGATTACAAACTTATAACTCCAATTTCTTTTTCCATGGGGCATTGAGCAGATGTGATCGGTGTTTCTGTCCAGACCCAGTAAAAGAACTATGATGAAATAATAATTCTTTATGAGATCATTCTGGTTTTCGGTTTTGTACATCTTTTGTTCTCAAATGGCTCTCTAATGATGTAATTCCTCACCACCACGTGGGTTGTCTCTCTTCAGGTTCTTGAACCTAATTGGCATGTGATGCATGGTAGACTACAATCTGCGAAGAGCATAGACGAGGTATGTGTAGGACTTACTTCATTATAGTTTAGACTTTTATTCACTGGCTAAACATGTTTTCTTACATGTTTAAATGCTCTGATTCCCTACATTTACTTGTGTACCTTCTGACAGGTGATCCAGCATCACGACTTCTTTCTTGACAAGTGTCTGAGAGAATGTTTGCTTCTTTTGCCAGATGTGCTCAAGGTTTGTACTTCTATGTTTCCTTAATAACGAGGAAATTATACGAATTTGAACAGTTAGACTCTACAAATTATCAAATGAATGATTTAAAGAGAGATTTTACTAGCAGATGTGAGTATAAATGAAATGATTGTTGACAATGTCATTCATACTGTTCTCTCATGGGTTTTTGACAATGGGAATGTTTCATGTTACAGAAAGTGGAAAAGTTGAAATCGGTGTGCCTGCAATATGCTGCAGCCACACAATGGTTAATATCTTCTTCTATAGATGTCATTAACACCCAGTCTCCACAGAAGACAATGACAAACGACACAATTGTCAGAGAGTCCATATTGTAAGTAGTGAAAAGGTCGCAACTTTATGCAAAAGTCGTGTCCTTTACTCTCTTTTTTTCAATCTTCTTTTGTGTTTGCAGCAATTTCGAAAAGGAATTCAACTCGGAGTTGCAGAGCTTAGGACCGATCTTGAGCAAGAGCTCTCAGGCAGAACCATACTTGACTCATCTTGCGCAATGGATTCTTGGTGTTACTAAGGAGTGAATGAGAGAGAGATTGTGTTTCTAACACAGTCACACTACTATTCCTATTACCAAACCAGGGTGTAACTGGATTTTGTGGGGTGACACTGAGCAGTTTCATGTGTTCAAACTCAAAAGCTTAATGTATACACCAGTTACTTTGATGTGATGCCCAAGTGTCTTTTCTGGTTTTACACGAAGCTTCATTGATAAACCTTTTTAATTGTAGCCAATACATCTTTACTACGAGACACTCCAACAACTCCAGGACTCAGCCTGAGTCGAGCACAAAGGACAATAATTTGGAACTGAGGTGAGAAATTTTGACCTCTCAAGAGCCAATCCCAAAAGCTGTGTCCTTAAGAGACTTGAGGACTTCCAAGTAAGCCAACCTCTTTGCCGTATCTTTATGAGGGGCCTTGGATGTATGAACAAACGTTTCTCTATTGGCTTTAACCTCTACGGTGAAATAAGCCTTGCCGTTCTTGAAACCCTTTTCTTTCTTGATCTCGAAATGCTCTTTCTGGCATAACTCAGTCAATTCCCTCACAGGATGTATCTTGAGGGTCTCTGGAGTTACCATACACCCAAGAAGCGGCTGTATACTTGCAAACACTGCTTCTGTGTTGTATCCTGAGTCCACAAGGATTGCACCTGCTAGAGATTCTATCACATCTCCGAGAACCTGACAGCAATACAAAAAAAAAAAAAAAAAAAAAAAAACAAAGCCCAGAATAGTCCTAAGACAACAGGAAGAAAGAATATGAAACATATCCTTTCGTTGAGTTTGAAGGCAAAAGTGTAACCTTGGGAAAAGACGTTTCAGCTTCCCATCCAAAAGTTGAATCTGAAGGTAAATGTTCAAACTCATCAACTGTTCTGGTCATGTGCTTGTGGAGATCATGAGAAGCATGAAGAATATGCTTGTGCAGCTTTGCTTTCATTGCTGCCCTAGCATAATGGTCGTTGTTCACTGAAGCAGACCGCATATCGGTTAGCAATCCCGGAGACAGAAAAGGATATTTATCATACAGATACTTGGTAATAACATAATCCAACACCGAATCACCAAGGAATTCCAGCCGCTGCAACAGACAGAGATCACATATTACATCAACACAGTTCCAACGTTGTCTTGTCCTATGTAGAAACGCACAAGTGACCAGAAATGTACCTGATAGCATCTCGGAATCTCAGGAAGCATGTATGAACCATGAGTCAATGCCTCGACCAAAAGGGACCGATCCTGAAACTTGTAGTTTAATAGGGACTCGATGTAAAATACGTTAAGAAGCTTCTCAGCGGATGGCAGGAGCTCCCTCTGATACGGTACATTTGCGAAATTGACATTTATACCAACCCAATCCATAAACATCACAGCTTGAACCTCTCCCCCCTCACAGAGATATGCACCGATCAGCGCTTCCACAGCATCAGCCACACTCTTACGTTTCACATTTCTCTTCCTAACGACATATATGTTTCTCGAATCAGACAAGCTATCTTCTGTGAGAGTGTAGGCTTGACCAGGAACCATCCATGTTTTAGGTTCAAAACACTCATTGCGGATAAACCCCTGCAAGCACAAGAACAAAATATTCGGCTTTTTTTTCTGCACCAATAGATCATAAAATCTATATTGAACTTGCTTCAGATCTTGCCCACATGGCATGTTTTATTACACTGAAATTTTGGTGTCACGATTTTTCAACTCGGGGCCTCTTTTCTCGAGCAAGCATTTAGTTATTTAGAAGTATAAAAACAAGAAGGAACAGGATTGTCCAGGACTCGGTTCATGGAAAACCCGAAAATGTTGGAAAGTGGAATAGTAAGAAATGTCACCTGAAGTTTCTGCTCACATCCTAACTTGCAGAGCATTGCATTTTTAGTGATTCTTTCCCTCTTGGAACTAAGGAGGCCCTCATGATGATTTTGATAAACATTGAAAAGATGCTGACTAACGGCATATTTTAGAAACGAGTCCCCAAGCGTTTCAAGTGACTCCAGGTGGAACTGGTCTTGACACTTCTTTGTCGTAATTGCCTCCAGAATCTGTCAGACAACAAGGCAAAGCTTTTGTATATTATCTCATCGGAGTGTTATCACCTTTGAACTAATCAAATATTGTTTCTACCTTGATGGTAGGAACATTCACTTCTCTAGTGCTGTGCTCAAGATGCATCTTCTTGAGATTGTAAGCAATAAGCAAAGATTCCAGACGATACATTATAGACGGAACAAAAGAGAATGTATATATGGTATCAACTGATACCGGAGACAGAATGACACCACATAGTTCAGGAGGCAGTTCGACAAAATCTTGGTCAGGATCTGCCAAGGGAGTAATAAGATATGGTTTAAGCAAAGTATAGATTTTTTTTAAAAAAAGATCAGATTTGGGTTGGGTCAGCAATCAAACCTTTCTCCTTTCGCTTCCTGCCTCTATTGAAGTAATTATGCACAGTGAAAATGTGCCTCCCACGCAGCAGTGGTTCATCCACAAAACCTAGTTTGATCCCATGCCTGCAAGAAACTATAACTCATTAGGCCAAAAATAGATAAATAACAACCGATCTCAATCGCGCACATGTTTCTATTAACAATCCAAATCCAGAAGCATTGAGCAAAGACTAGAAATTTCCTGTTGTGGCATTCTAAGGAGGATAAAATTTCCCAAAAAAGTGTGTATTATCAAATATCAATGAACAAAAAACACATTACCGCTCCCAGTTTTGTTTAGTTAGCAATCATGTGCAAAAGGAACTTGCTAAACTTATACCGTGTCTGATAGTACTCCCTATAAGTCTGTCTGCTCCCATTCCTCAGCGACAACAAGGAATTTGCATTTAGATTCTCGAGAACACCAGTGATACAATAGACTTTTCCAGTATGCGGAGTGTAAACCAATGCGTTTTGTACTGCACAAACGCAAACCAAGCCGTCTTTTGCATGTAGAATGCGAGTAGCACCACAGGCACAAGAGCTGAAATGGCTTTCCTCAGCTCGGTGAAGAGAGAAATTCACAGATTTAATAACATTCCAATTGATATGAGATGTCTGATGCCCATGATTTGCTGGCAGTAGTAGAAAGTCAAGAGTTGGGCCATTTCTACACTGCAATCCATCTAACGCCTCGGTCAATGTTTCAGGATTATGATCCAAAAGAGTACGTAAAAGAGTTATCTGAAATCTTCTACACAAAAAAACCTGAAAAAAAAAAATAAGATATGCTGAACATCATTTGAAGTTCAAGAGAAAAATAATTTGAATCGAAAAACAAAAGGATGCAATACCTCTTCTTGTGTGAGGTGAAATACTCCAATGTACTTTAATGTCACAGTTATTGCACCCCCCTTGACTCCCAACTTAAAGCTCGTGGTTCCAATGTCATCTTCAAGCTCAGCTCTAGTGCCAAGTAAAATATCCTGAACATGAAAATCATCTGGATACCACGGCTTCAATCCTATCAGGTAAAAGTGGTACGTTGTCTTTGACTCTACTAAAAAATGGCCAATGAGCTCAGGGGGGAAGTAACATGGCTGCTCATCACTATAGGGATAACTACCTGCACAATTAAATCTTAAGGAATCTTCATTTATATAAAAATTAAGAAAAGATTAACAAGCACAAGTGGATTTGCAGAAACTTTACAAAGTTCTTGTGTAACAGTTTCCTCCACAACCATGTCAGGCACAAGATTATCGGTTAAAGCTCCAACTTTGTGAAGCTGCTTGCACGCTTCAAGACAGGCAGCTTTTTTTAGCATGTTACCATGACCATGAACTGTAACGGCTTTTAAAGGGCAACTCTTAGGAAGGTGAATGATGCAAGTACCATCCCTGTCTACATCAAACCTAGGAGCTGGTTTAAAGTACCTTACAGAGAAAATAAAAGACATATTTTAGCGATTTCCATAATCAGAGGCATAGAAACTGATGAAGCTGCAATAAGACTAACCCGTCAGATGGAAGCCTTGAGCAGTAGAAATATATTAAGTTAACACTTGAGCTTAGAGTTACACTTGCGCCCGTGCCGGCGACACGGTAGAATTCTTCACAGGTATCATCTGGAAGAGGTTGACAAGGAACAGAAGCGTGAAGCAAAGACTCTCTACGCATTATATTTCCACTGGAGAGATAGTTCATTAGCCGAGAGTGCGTAGACAGATCTCCACTGCGAGCGGAAATAAGACAGTTAAAAAACAGAAATATTAGAATCTTTGTGAGCGCCACATAGAGACGATCTCCAATGTCTCACTTTCATCGAAATTATATATTTTCTAAAATTTAAGAATTCATTAATAAACCTCTTCACCAGCATCAAATAGTCAGAATTCTGCATTCTAGCACGCCCTCGAGACTGTATAAAACTGCAAACAGTGGCTGAAGGGTCAAATCTAACAACCAGGTTGCAACTTTGCACATCCAAACCTTCCTCCAGAATGGATGTTGCTACTATAATGTTAACCTGTGAAAACATCTCCCAAACTTAGAAGTACAAAGTGGCAATAAGCAGATCACTCCCAACTGTTGATTTGAATTTGATCATACCAAGCCTTTACGGAAGTCTTCCACAATTTCATTTTGCTTTTTCCGAGTTTGGTATTGCAGTCCAGAGTTACTTCCTGCCATGTACTTGGTCTTCCAGTTATTGTACTTCGGGAAAATCTCAGCCAAAAGGGATCCCAGTACAGTGGCTACTAATACCCTTTCCACAAAAATGATACACCGTATGTTCTTCAATGCACTGTAACCATAACAAGGCAAGAGTTCAACCAAATAATAAAAATTAATCAAATAGTCCACACTTTCTACTCAAGAAATCATGCAGAGGGTGAAAGGAATCACAGTAACATGTAAACCCTTAATCAAATAGTCCACGCCTTCTACTTAAGTTCACATTGAAGAACAGAAAACGTGCATGAAACGCAAACCTATATTCAAGCAAAGACTCAACGAGGCAGACAGTCTTCGATGTCAGGAGACCCTCATCCAAGCTGGCATTTATGTTGTCTGATATACTCCACAAAGGATCTAAGACAAATGAAGAACCACAGAGGTGGAAAAAAATAAACAATAAATTTTATTTATCTCAAAATAGATTTGGTAGGGAAAAAGTACCAGAAGGTATGTAAGCTGAAAAAGCTTTGGAAGCATCAAGACAAAAATTTTGAATGAGTGCCTTGCTAGATGTATCTAGTTGGCCCCACGGGAAGAATTCATTTAGATTGGCAGACAAGGACTTGGTAGCCTGTTGTAATTAAGAAAATAAACTATATTTACTTTCCACAGACATCAAAAAACCTTAAAGCAGCAAACACAACAAATACCTTTAGCGCCAACCAAATTCCAAGTTCATCTAAACAATACAGTAGATTGGAACATATCTTTGACATTTTCGTCTCAATAGACCCAGCGATGGAGGGCTCCAGATCCAAGGAAGACACAAAAAGTCGATGCTGAGAACAAAGTGCATTGATTATCAGCATCAAATGTCCACTTTTATCATCGATTACACAATGACCTGAAGACAGGCACATGAGTGTTCCAGAATCTATTCAAGGGCATTCATAAGCAAACCACTCCTATTTTCCCATAATTCTGAGTTACTTTCCACTCCTTCAAAGGCACGGGCGTACCAAGACTTGACATTATACATGCAACAAATTGATTTGGCTTTCCAGTCAGCATCACTATATCGGAATAGTCCGCATAGCAAATATCAAGTATTAGGGTGAATACCTTTCTCTTCAAACGTACAAGCTCCTCCTCCAAGCTTGCACGCACCAAACATGGAATTTCCAGTTGCTGATAGAACTTGAATTTCGGTGTAGAAAATGGGATAAAGCCAGCAAGTACAGATTCAGAGACACATGTATACACCTTCATTAATTAGCAGAATCTTGTTACTAAGAATGAAACTGTAAGAAATTGCCTCATTGTAAGAAATTGCCTCATAAGTATCGTAACAGTAACTAAAAGCACTGGATCAAAGACAGACAGGGCAAATCAACGTTCAATACAGACAAGAAACTTTTGTAATTTCAGCCTCGGTTCAAGTATATTAACAAATGAGATAATGGTGCTGAACCAAACCATAGAAAACACAAGATGAACCAAAACAAGAAGATCTGTTCGTGTCGGATATTTGTCCCTTTGAGAAGCAAAACCTGTACATTAATGCAGGCTTGCTAGACATATTGACATATAAAGGTTAAATCATTGCATTATGAGTATGGCAGATAGAAAAATCAATTTTATCTTGCATATGTCTTAGGCAAGACGGAAGATAATATGCCTATCTTAAAAAAACGATAAAACGGGAAGAAAAATATAAACAGCATGTTTTCACAGAGAACAATTAACCTTCGAGTTCATAAGAGTCTCAAGCTCAAGAATATTTTTCCAGTAGCTTTCCAATTTTGCACCTGAGATTAAAAAAAATACAGAAACATCAAATGCAGAAAAGAAAAAGACAATCAGAAACCAGAAGAAAATCTATAATACAGTCAATAAAGACGATTATGCGAGACAAAGTGTATACCCTTGGTTTTCACAGGGGATGCAGTCATCCCAAATATTCGTGGAATGCTCAAAGTTCCAGATTTTAACTCCTCGTGATAAAAATCCTACATGAGAAAATCACAATATTGTCAAAAAACATATGAGATATCACTTTCAAGTACCATATTTTACTGTTTGAAAAGCAATGCGGTCTTTTTCCCTATAATCACCAGATTTGGACTAAATGTGTGTTTTATATCTGACAATGTCGGGCAGATGCACTATATCAGAAATTACATACAATGGCATAAGAAACTTGCAGTGGATCATCAATTAGCAACGTTCACAGGAGAAACGTTACAGAGAAAACAAAATCACAACAAGAGCACAGATTAGACAAAATGCAAATAAGTAAACAGAACGAAAGAGTATGATGAACTGCTGACCTTCATGATACAAGCATAGGGGTGATTTCCCCTAGCATGGTGACACTCATCAAATATTAGAACCTTTATCAGGTTTAACTTTAGAAAACTGTGCCTTAATGCATTGAGCAAAATGGCAGGGGTCATCACAAACACCTGCAGTGAGTTGCCAAAATGATATAATTCACAGTTCATGGTGAATTTACGAACTGATTAAAAAAAACATCCTATAATCCTAAACCCTTAAGCAAACTTCCAAACAACTGAAGGGGAGGAGCCAAAGCCGTACATAGAGTCAAAACATGAGCAATTAGGCGAATTTCACATAATTCAGAGATAGTCCTCGACCTGGCTACTCAGCTCTAAATAGTAGATAAAACTTGACAAAATCTACATGAAACAGGGAGCAACCAAACCAGAACATATATCACGTGCATCTTAGTGTAGAGGGTCCACAAATGAAATGAGCTATAACCACTCTATACACATAAAGAGTATCAAACCTCATATTTATCAACTTCTTGTTTCCAAGTCGAAGCATCCCAAAAGTCGACACCCATATCTCCCCAGTACATACCCACTTGAAGATCAGTATGCAATCTCAGGGCTTCAGCTTGCTAACCAACATAAAGTGATTCAAGGAAACTGTTGAGTAAACAACTGGAGCAAGAAGACAAATTGCAGACAAGAATGTTTATCTCATGAGATAAAAGATAGTCCAGACATTTCACAAACAGTACGAGAAAAGATCACTTCTGCTAGTTATTTCATTTAATTCCTAACAGAGATATAGTGTAAAAGTTTCTTTCAAAAATATGCATTGCAAGTAAGAGCATAAACCCAGGAATTCACAAAGATACACATACAAGACACGAACATACAAGTGTAAACAAATACGTAATCTTCACCAAAGCTACTAAGGCCATAAGCATAAACCAAAAGATAGAGATAATAGCATACTTGAGTGACAAGCACCACTTGAGGAACCAAGAAGACTGCAAAGTGGGGAGAAGGCTTGCGGAAAAGGTGAGCATAGCTTCGAAGAAGCATAATCGCAATCAGGGTCTTGCCAGAACCGGTCTCCAAGAACACTATTGTGTTCTGCTTAATTGCTTTCTCAAGCGCCTCAACCTGATAACTGATTAAAAAAAAACAGACCATATAAAAAACGTGAACAGACAGATTAATAATATATGCAAAATACAAGGGAACTCCAAACGCTCTGCTCAACTAATCACTGGAAGTTTCAAATACATGAGTTGGAACTTGGAACTCATGTTATCGAGATTTACATTCAAATTGTACATATATACTCTCCATTGTGATTATAGGTAAAACCTATGATATGTCAAGAAGCCGAGACAAATGCGTCATGATCAAAGGTTGTAACTTTTTTCCTACCTTCGCTTGAAGAATTTTTCCAACCAGCGAACCAAATCCATACAAAATACGACCAGAAAAAAGAGAGAAAAGAAACACCACCTTCTCGCAAATGGTAAAGCACATGCAGAAAGCTGATCGCTGCTCTGTATTTCCATGCCCACAGCATCCATGGCAATCTAAAACGCCAACGAAAGTTCAAGAATAGAATCAGCAAACTCAGAACAGAAAGAGCAAAACCCAATACTCAGTCGCTGTCTCTCCACTTGTTTGCAGACAAAAAATGAACTTCTCCAACAAATCACAAAACAAACTTGAGAATGAGAATATGAAAGAAGAAAAGTGGAGGGACGGGAACAAAAGTTACAAAATCAAAGTCCCATTCCAAGCAAGCAACGTATAAAAACCAAAATTTTCTGTTCTCAGGTTTAAAATAAGGGACGAAACCCTCTAATCAACGCCATGAAAACACTCAAAATCACCATACTTCAATACTAAGTTTCCACAATTAAACGTAAACCAAACCCCTCTTCGCCGCACAAACTGAAGAAAAAAAAAAGGAGTGCAGAAGGAAAAAAAAAGAACCCAGGCGAAAGCCCTTCATCAGAAAGACAACACCCTGATAAAGGAATTCCTGCCTGAATGAACAGTCTGTAGCGCTTCTACTCTGCAATAATTATTATTAAAAAAAATAACACAAATGATTCGCCGGAAAAAACGTAAATAGAGGAACTAACCGGCGGTCAATATGAGAAAAACCCCGAAATCGCAGCAATGGAGGCGGTAACAGAAAACTTGCAGGACATGAGAGAGAAGAAGAAGAAGATGGAGAGGTCTTCAAATAGAGCTTTTCTCCTTCTTGAAGAAGGAACTTGCTGTGGAAGGATCGCATTTTATAGGAAAACGGAATTCGAGAGAGGAGACTGACAAGACCCTCCCCGTACAAGAATCTGTACCGCTTCTACTCTACAATAATTATTATGAAAAAAAATAATACAAAGAATGGGACAAAAACCCAAAACCAAATTCATGAGCGTTGATTAAAGTCTTCAGCCCTTTGGGAAAAATCTCGCCTTTACTTGGTCGGCAATCATATAGTACAAATCCAAAATAATTACCTTTATTCGTTTCCGGAATTAAAGTTCAGATCTTTCTTCCTTATTGGCAATGCCATCTCTTGAAAGACTTTTTGGGACATTTTAAAGTTCAGACTTTTTTTTAATAATGTTAGGCAATGCCACAATCCTTTCATTTTTTTCAAATAGGATGGCCGGTTATCACCTTAGTCTGGAGGTTCAAATAGAGAAAGAATCTAACTTTTGCGGGAGTTAATAGTCACTTATGTCATGGGCAAATTTCATCTGAACCCCAGGATTCTTACTTTAGCCTTGTATTGAATCACCTATCATTCTAATCCACTAGAAAGGAAGAGGGAAAACCTAGAAAAGCTGTGTCTCGGTGATCTGGCAAGATTTTTCAGACAACCTGATCAGATCATGCAAGAAATGATACCAATCCTCCAACAGGGATCTCGAAATGCTCATTGAACTTTCTGGGTTTTGCAGAATCGGCAACAATGGAAACTGCGAAACTGTAGACAGGAAAACGAAGGACTGGGTTCACCTCATATGCTTAAACAAGAGCCTAACTGCTCTGTAAGAGAGAAGACAACGCTCTCAGACAGGACGTCCAAGTATAGATGTAGAACAAAAGGACACATCCAGTACACGGCCATGGAAGCCAGCAGCAGAGGTTTCCGCATCAGCCTTCCATTAGAAAAGAACAACGAAAGGCAATCTCTTCTTTCATCGACCATCCTCTTTCTTACCAGAGACAGGTACTGTTGTGGTTTGAGCCGAAGATCTCTCGATTTCACACTCGAATCTCACCGAAAAAACGAAGAACGAACAAGAAACGAAAAAGGACACGGATTGAACGAGTTCGGCCACCGAGCCTTGCTCGGCCCTACGTCTCGGGAAGAGGAGGAACTTTATTAGGACGCAATAACGAAAAGAACCCGCCGGAGACGGTGGTTCTCGGCCACAGTCTTGAAGAACCAGAAGAGAGGGAGAGTGACAGCTGCGCGTACACACGAGCACAGGAGGAAAAAACACAAAACCCTAATTGCCTTTTGGCTACCGAATTACTAAATTGCCCTTAATGAATGGTCTATGGCTCTATGCTCTTTGCTCCTATGTGGGCCCTATGTGGGTCCAGCGTTTGCAGAAGAATATTCCCATCAGATGCCTCGTGAACTTGTGACAGGCCACCCCCACGATAGTCATGTATACACCCTCCTGTCACTTCCGCACGCAGAAAACGCATGAGATAGTTCATGTATTGTATGCGCATGCAACCGAACCAAACCACATGAATTATGAGGAGGCATTGTAGAATTAATCCACAATATAAGGATAATCAATCCCTTGATTACTGGGTACGCGTATTCCGTCTAACGAGCATGCATTTTGGGACAAGGAAACCGTAGAAATAGATACAAATACAGAGCCGAACCAAAGGATCGGGTCATACAAGGGCAGCCGAGGGACCTTACAGCAAGAAAATTGCTCGAAGAAGAAGCATTTGCACGTGCCCTCGTTACAGATTGTAAAAAGAACGGGCTTGAATCATAAAACTCTGGCTACGCCTTCCACTATTAGGGAGTGAGAGACGAGACCACATGCCGGCACTCACGCACGTGACATGCTAAGGATGGTTACGTGAAACTTGAATCACATTAGTCATGAGAACATGAAAATTTGGCCATAAAGCTGAAAATCCGAATAATGAAAGTCTGACGAAATAAAAACCGTCCGAGGATGCAAGAACAGTTCACACAAAGCAAGAAAAATAGCGTTATTTTCTTTTTCTACTACCCATTCTTTCTATGTGTCTCTCCAAACAGTGAACGTCGATGAAGCCCCTCCACTGTACATGTTAGAACCAACGGCTGCAACATTAGGAACCCCCATCGGCAAATCCCTCTCCGACGATGCCGCTTGCTGTGCAAGGCAATACGCGTTTCTTGCATCGCAAGTAACGTCAGGCACGCTGTATACACTGCCATTGATCATCACGTTCTCGTTGGAAAGAACCGATGTGGCCATAGGGACAACGAATCCGCTGTTCCTGCCACCGTACCCAGCTCCTTGGTAGCCACCAAACCCGTCCTCACGTCCACAGATAGTCACTGAATCGCTTGAACCCATCACGAGACTGGGCGAGCTATCGAAGAAATGCTGAAACCCGTGGCTCGGCTTAAGCTCGGAATCCTGTTCTTGGTGGCACCAATCTCGGCCCTGTCCGATTCCGACATCGTATCTTGGCAACGAGCTGCTCAGAAGCTGTCCTTGATTAGGGAGATGAAACGAGATGGAAGGCCAAAGGTTGTTGACTCCACTTGCAGTGTTGAGGGAACTTTCTTCGTCTGAAACGGTACTCGCAATTGTCATCTGTTCAGTGGTACTTTCTCTGAGTCGTTTAGAAGCGCTCCCAATGGGAAGAGTCGGGCTCTCGAGAATGGCCTTAACGTTGTATCTGTTCATGTCGAAGTTCGTCACTGCGTTCAATCCCCGGAATCTGATGGCCGCTATGTCGTACGCCTCCGCGGCCTCTTCTTGCGTGCCTATTGCATATATGTATAATTGTTATCCCAATAGTCAGCGTGCGGAATTTAAATGTTTTAACTGATGAAATATACCATTAGGGATGGATTGAAATATAAATTTAAGAAATTTGTGTGTGTATATATGCACATGGACTTACTGAAAGTTCCCAAGTAGAGATCTTTGTTGCCCGCGACTCTACCAATCCTTGCTTGCCACCTCCCGTGCTGATGATGCCTTTTTTTTTCACGTCCAATTACAGCAAGTTGCGTGACTTACAATGTCAGAATATTACTTATAGTATATATTTACACACCCGAAAAATTCGACATTTACTTTCGTATACGATCTATTAATTCACCTTGTTACTCCGCGATACATGGACGCACCACGAGAGAACCCACTGCTCTTCCTGCATGCATATACGTATTTACGTATTCTTAGTAATAATAAATTAATAATAAAGGTAAACAACTTGCTATTACGGGAATCAATATCACGCAATGCACTTCACCTTGAACCATAGACGAAATAATATCGTATACGATTATAATGATCTCGAGAATCTCAAAACTAAATAATATCGTATACAATATTGTATATTTCTACATGTGATGTTCATCAAGTACTGGAACGTAACATATCCCATTATCAAGTCAAATTACCTCCTCAAGGATGCAACATACTCCTGTCTTGTCATGTGCTTCATCTCTTCGATCTCTTTCTCATAATCACCTATCTACGTATCAATAAATAAAAAGCATGGAACAATACGCGTTATATTAAAAAAAAAATATAATACATACCAATAAATACAAAATATGGAACAATGCATTAAAATTATTATTGAAAGCGAAATACCGGGAAGTTGGTAGTCGTTGTGGTGCCCCAATATTTAAGTGCGGCTAAATCGTAAGCCCTAGCAGCTTTTTCTTCTTTGTCATAACCTCCTGAAGACCATCACAATGCAGAGACATATTCACCAACGGCATATATATATATATGTATATATGTAACTGCATAAATATATATACATACATATACAAGTTCTGAATAAGTACTTAATTTCATATATTCACGTACCTAGATAAACTGCGAACAAAGAGACAGAGAGAGATCCAACAAGCCGGGCCATCAAGAAAATGAAAAACCCTAGAGTCAGTCATATATATATATAATTCAAGTCTCGACGACTTCAATACTGATCATATGGATATTGGATATATAAAAATATATATATATATACGTACGTGTGTGCGTGTATATGTGTTAGGAGTAGGTACCTTGTCTTCCCTTCCGAGTTTGGCCTTCTCTTTTGGAACTGTTGTCCCATAAATGTGCCTCGTATCTACCCGTCCATCTGTGCCTGTTCAACAATCGTACATGCATAAATAAATCAACAAGAGACTGACAATATCATTGATTTGAATGTCGCAATATACATTGAAACGGGAAAAAAAAATCATTTCCTCTATTTGGTACCAACCGACACAAACTTGTGTATATACACAGTCCCCTTTCGGTGTACCACAAGACCAAACCACCCTCGATTTGATCCAACTCCAAAGATATACACACATACATACATATAATTCATATATATATATACAGAGAGAGAGACAGAGATTTCCTCGGTATATAGACGTCCATATACATATATACAAACCTTGTTACACCGCGGTATATAGACGTCCTCTGTCCGAAACTGTCGACAGCTTTCCTCGGCACGGCTTCTAAACCAACAGTGGTCTCTGACAACGTCTTCTCTTGGACAGCACTATCACAACTATCGTGTTTCATATCATTATCGGTGTTGTTATTTTTGTTGTCGGAAGACGAGCTCATAGAAAGAGACAAGCCTCGTGCACCGCCATGGCCGTCAACGTTGTTCTCAGCATAATTCGCCGGTTGGTCACGCAGCCAAGTCTTCACCATTGAAAGCCCAAACGAGCCACCGCCTCCGCCGCAGTTTCCATAGTTTATGGCGTTATCCTCGTTGATGTTAATGCTGTCGTAAACGGCGGTTTGGTTGAGACCAAAGAAGTTCTCAAGCTTCGGACCATTTTGACTATTGCATGCACCGCCATTGATGTTCCACTCTGGAGAACATTGACAGGAAACACTTACGAATTTTTTCCACCATTACTAAACGGATCTTTGTAAAGTCGCGATCTTTGGTAAAAATATGCATCCAAATAATACTGATATTAACAATAACAATAATACAGTTTAATGTGATTTGAACAAACATTAAACCCTATTTTGATTTTTTTTTCTTATGGAAAAACTCGAAAGGGGAACTAAACAAACACAAAAACGAAATAGATAAACGTGCGGTCTCTGTGCTGCGTGCATTGAAAGAAGAGGAAAAAACAATAAATAAAAAAAGAGGGAAAAAACCTCGGGAGTGACTATTGTTGTCTCTGGTGAAGGGGTCGAGGAGGGCAAAAGGGGAAGGAATCGCGGGCACGGCGACGGCGGCAGAGGACTCGTCTGCGGCGAGATCGAAGCAATCTCCGGGGACATCCACGGCGGAGGAGAAGCCGTGGCCACGGTGGGTTTGATCTTGATCATCATCACGAGGAGAGAGAGATGAGAAACCCAACCAGTTGTTCATGTGAGTCATATGATCTAACTTAGAGAGAGAAAGAGAGAAGATGAACACTTTTTTTTTGTTTATGATTCCTTGGAATACTAAATATGAATTTGGAATGAGAATATGAAGGAGAAAAGAAGAAGAACCGATTTAGGGTTCATGCATGAAGAGAAAGAGAGAGTTTTTGGCGAGTTACTAGAGAGAAGAGAGGAGCGAGAAGAAGAAGAAGAAGAAAAGTCAAAAAAATCATGTTCATTTCTTCCGATGCAGCACATATATATATATAATAATAATAATTCCAAATATTCTGCATGAGGAAAAAGAAAGATAGTCGGTCGAAGGTCGATTAAGGGGCATTATTAATTACATTTCGGGATAATCTACTATGTTTTAATGACCATTAATTAAGCAGTCAAAAACCCTAATAACTCTCTCTCTATATACATGCAAATAATTTAAGTAAAAAACAAACAAAAAAAGAACAAAAGGGTACACGAGGACCAATAGTAAAATCCAAATTCCACATGCTGTCGGGGAAAATAAACAGTATTTCTCAAAGTTTTTTTTTTGTAATTGGTAGTTCTCAAAGTTACAAACCCGAAACAAGCAAAATAAGGAATCTACGAATCCACACACACACACATCATAATTGATAATCACATATATATATATATATCAACGCATATATATGTGATATAGACACAGGCAGAGAGAGCAAATCACAGTAGTACGTGCTTATCTTATCTTCATCCAAAGTATATATTATAAATAATTTAATATAGTTTAGACCAGAGATTAGAGGGTAATAGGGTGAACACATGGGTCAATGAGAAGACAGAGGGCATGTGGTTATATCCTTAAAATAATAAACGTGCATTACAAACTTTGGACTTTCCTTGTAAGATACTTTCGCTCAATCTGTGGATACCCCTTTGTTTATATTTTCGCATTCCCCTCCATTATTTCCAATATATACGCCTTCTAGAATGCTTCGTACCTACAAACCGTATGACCATTTTACTTAGTACTATATATATATATATATATATATGATATAATGGTAATTATTGTCCACCGAAATAGTGACCAAGAAATATAAAAGGAAGAGACGAAATTAAAGAAAAACTATAAGGAAAAAGGGAAAAGAAAAAAGAGACCCTCACCCATATTATTAAATCATATGCCCAGTTGGATTTTGTCAGTTAAATGCAGCTCTACCACTCCTCTACCCAATATCTTTACATTGCCCCATGCATGCACATATACATATATATATATATGTATATATTCACATCCCTATGTGTAAAATTCATACCAAAACACACACACATATAGGTACATACCAGCAAACGAGCAAATTGAGTGATATATACATACATATACATATGTGTGTGTGTATGTATTTGCGCATACATTGTATGAATGAGAAATGATGAGGGCCTGCAGGAGGTCTGCCTGCGCCCGCCCGAAAACCCATAACACTATCACATTGCATCAACCTGCAGTGGCTTTGGCATGCATTCCTTTTGAATTATATATACAAATTATACACGTATATATGAAAATTTGATATTATTTTGGTATTTTTTTTAATTCAAAAGTCAAATAATCAAGTCGCTCGCCCGCTTCAACCGGGGGATCACACTCCATATCTGCCTCTTTTGCTGTGCTTTACAAGGATCCATGCATGCCTGACATACATATTTTTCCCTTTTTTAGCTGGTGTTTTTTTTCCTTATATATTTATTTATTTTTCTATCTATTAGGTAAATAAATCAATCATGCTAGCAAGTGATTGGTCATTTATCGAATTCCATTTATGTAACATAACCAAACAATAGAAATGAATATATATATATATACACACATTATATATAAAATTACAACAAATAAGGCAAGAACTTAGAAATTGTTGGTCTTGTCAATACAATCAAACATCAACCAGTCCCACGTCTAATTAAACCATGCATGCTTCTGTACAAAGAGGTTCATGTAAGACCATTTATTCATACAACTCACATATACATACATATTAATACAACTTGTGGGGGGGGGGGGG